TTACTGACTTTTTTCTTTTATATAAAGTTGCTACCTACTCAAATACTAGGATTCCTGGTGTGGCGCTGTAGAATCAGCACTGGACTGTGAACCACAAGGTGTCAACAGTTCAAACTCACCAGCGGCTCCTTGGAAACCCTATATAGGGTCGCTATGAGTCAGAACTGACTCCACGGCACCTAACAACAACAACAACAACTCAAATACTTATTGCCACAAGCTTGGCAGTTACAGATTTTCAATATTTAAAAAACAAATGTTTTCTTCTATTAGCTCTCATTTTCCACCTTCCAGACACCAAACACTAACTAGTCACTACCCTATCTTCCTCTCTCATTTCTCTAATTTGTTCCTCCTATGGAGCACTGGTAGCATAGTGGTTATGAATCGGCCTGCTAACCTCAAGGTCGGCAGTTTGAAACTACCAGCTGTTCCACGGGAGAAAGATGAGGCTTTCTGCTCCCGTAAAGATTTGCAGCCTCAGAAACCCTGTGCAGGGTCGCTATCAGTTGGAACTGACTCCACTCAACAATGGAGTCCTGGAGGAGACCTGGGGTGATGCTGTGGGTTAATGCACCAGAATGCAAAGCCAAATGTTTGAACTGCAAGGTTGGTGGTTCAAGCTCACCAGCTGCTCCTTGGAAACCCTGTACAGGGTCGCTATGGATCGGAATCTACTCGACAGCACTTCACTACAACAACAAATGGAGTCCCGGTGTGGCACTGCTAGCTAATATGTCACACGGCAAAGTCATGTGAACTGCAAGGTCAGTGTTTCAAGCTCACTAGCTGCTCCTTGGAAAACCTATACAGGATCGCTATGGATCAGAATTGACTCAACGGCACTTAACAACAACAATATGCTATACTGATGTGGCACTGTAAGATAAGCACTGGGCTGCAAGGTCAATTTGAACTGGAAGCTCAGTGGTTCAAACCCACCAGTTTCTCCTTGGAAACCTTATATAGGGTTGCTTTGAGTCGGAACCAACTTGAAAGCACTAAACAAAAACAACATCCTATCCTGGCATAGCACTAGTGGATAAGTAATAGACTGCTAACCTCAAGGTCAATGGTTCAAAGCAGCCGCTCCTTGGAAACCCTATACAGGGCTCCTCTAAGTTGGGACCATCTCAACGACACTTAACAACAGTCTGTCTTGGAGCAGATGCATAAGACACATTGCGCCTTCTTTCTTCCTGTGTGCATTGCTGATCTTTTTCTGGCTACTCATAATTACTTATCCTCATTTCCATTTTCTTCATTATTTTACCCAACACCAAAATTAGAGGGGAGTAAGGATGGACGAGTCTTTGTTTGGTGAGAAAGAAACCATTACATTGTCTTTCCCCCACGTCATAAAATGCTCCTGCATTTTATGGTCCAGGAGTGGCCTTGGATTGAAGGAAGTGCCTTGTCTTTCTGCATGAGCCATCACCTTATTACACTTGTGAACTTGTTATTGAAGCCAGTTAAGGAGTCCTGCTAGCTCAGTGCTCTAACTGAGAATGATGAGCTAGTCTTCTTCCCTCAGATTCACAGCCTCGGAAACACTGTGCAGCAGTTCTGTTCCATCCTGTAGGGTCGCTAGGACTCAGAACAATTCAATGACAGTGGGTTTGGGTTTTTGGTAAACTTTACTCTTAACTTTGTGGACGGCTACCAAAAGTACAAATAAGAGAGGATTCTGCATATCTTAATAAAAGAGTTGAGTGAAGAGCAACTTAGAAGGAAGAGGCTACTAAGAATCAAGTGTAGTGATCACATGTTAACATGGATGGTAAGCCTCACTTAAACCAGTTATAGAAAGGCTGTCCATTTCCACTCCAGACTTCCTGGAGATGTAAGGTTAAATGAAGCTCTAAGATAAGCTTTAAATCTTAAACCAAAAATATCCTCCTGAAGTCTTCTTAAAGCCAAACAATAGTTTAGTTTAAAAATATCTGTCTTGAGCAGTATGCTCTTTTAAAACTACCTATATGAGAGGAGTCCTGGTGTGGTGGTGTGGGTTAATGCATCAGACTGCAAAGTCGTTTGAACTGCAAGGTCAGAGGTTCAAGCTCACCAGCTGCTCCTTGGAAACCCTACACAGGGTCGCTATGGGTTGGAACCGACTCCATGGCACTCAACAACAACAACATATGAAATCTAACTGGTAACAGTAACTTGAATCATTAGATGGGACCCAATGGGAAAGGAATAAAACTCAGAAAAGAAGGAGCATGGTTGTACAACTAAAGTAATATAACAAGAGTCACTAAATGATTATATGTAGAAACTGTTGAATCGGTGTGCGCTTTGCTGTGTCTGTTCTCAGTTGTTGTTGTTGTTGTTAAGTGCCGTCGAATCAATTCTGACCCATGGCAACCTACTCTACACTAGTATGACAGATTGTTAACCTAATTGATAACATCTTCAAAGACTCTGCTTTCAAACAAGACCATGTTCGTAAGTACCAGGATTTCAACGTATCTTTTTATCCACATTTCAACCCATAACCACACCTTCAAAAAGATATTTCAATTTCTTCTACACCTATCCATTACCCTCACCATTCTGTACAATCCTCCAACCCTCACTTTTATGGGGATATTGGACTCCTTGTGTGGCGCTGTAGGATCAGCACTAGACTGCGAACCACAAGGTCGGCAGTTCAAACCCATTGGTTGCTCCTCGGAAATCCTATACAGGGTTACTTTGAGTCGGAACTGAGTGGACAACACGTAACAACAACAACAACATTTATACATACTTTATTATTAACATGGAATGCAGTGGCTCCCTATGATAAGCACTGAAAAGTCAGCAATTGGAACCCACCAGCAACTCTGAGGGAGAAAGATGTGCCAGTCAGCTTTCCTAAAGTTGCACATCCTTGGAAACCCCAAGAAGCAATTCTGCTTTGTCCGAGAGGGTTATTAGGAGTCTGAATTGACCCGGTGGCAGAGGGTTTATTTTTGCTATTATTAATATGTCACGGTAGCGTAGTGGTTACAAATCAAACTGCTAATCTCATGCTCAGCAGTTCAAAACTACCAGCTGTTCTGCAGGAGAAAGATGAGGCTTTCTGCTCCCATAAAGATTTACAGCCTTGAAAATCCTGTACAGGGTTACTATGAGTTGGAACCGATCTACGGCACATAACAACAACAGCAACTCTCTGTAAACTGTATATGACTGCAACCTAATCTCGCATTTGTTTTTCCACCTCACACCAGTTATTATCATTTAAGAGGAAATTAGAATGTTTTAAAAAAGAATTTAACAGTAAGTTCCAAAGTATAGACCAACTCAGTGTATTTCCACTGCTGGACCTATGAATGAATCCAGTACATCTGGGTTCCTCAGGCTGGCAAAGTGGGCAGCAGAGTTAGAATCACAAGCCAGGATCCTTTGCTTGCTTTCTAGTTCTTTCTTGTTTGTATTATTTGGATGGAACTTCTGCTGAGCTGTGTATGTGTCATTAAATCTGCATCTGCTTTTGTCTGTATAAAATAGCTTCCTGATACCAGGGAGCTTGTTGGCTTGGTAGGATAAGCAGTGGACTGCAAGCCACAAGGTCAATGGCTCGAGCCCACCAACCACTCAGTGGGAAAAAGATGAGGTGTTCTGCTCACACACAGATTTACAGCTACGGAAACCCTATACAGGGTTTCTACATATCAGAACTAACTCAGCAGCACTTAACAACAGCAATGTTATGACTGGTTTGCCTGTCCCCCACCTTTATAACTGTGTTTGAAAGGATGCAGAAATTCCTAAGCAAAAGCCACTGAAATCCCCTCTCACCTCCTCCACCCAGTGTTGGCATAGAGACTAAAATGCCAGCTACAGCAGTAGTGTTCCTGATTCCACGTGTTCTGCTGATGTGCCTTCCTGGCGCATCCCACACCTGTCCTTTTGCTCTATTCCTCACTTCTCCATCCGGGCTTTATTTATACTTGATTTCCCACCTCCATGCCCACCATTCCGAGAGGTGGGCTTCTCCCACCTCAAGCTCCAGCCTGCCTGCCCACTGAGCTCAGGTGGCAGAATTGCCTCTGGTAATGGAACAGGTCTGGCCATGCCTGGCTGCTCCAACTGGGCGCTCAGGAGTAGAGGGGCAGTGGGTTTGCTTCAACAGAGACCCCCGCCTCATTCATCTGAACCTTGTCCAATACAAAGAGCAAACGCTAATATCAACTGTGGACTTCAGTCAATAGTGATGTGTATATGTCGATTCGTCTCTTGTAACAAATGTTCAGTGGAATTGGAGATGTTGACAAAAGTGGTAATTGTACTAAGGAGAAGGGGGTGTATGGGAACTTTGTAGTTAATGCACAGTTTTTCTAGACCTAAAAATGCTCTGAAAATACATATATACTAAAAAAAATATTTTTAAACAATTGTTGCCTACTAACAGCTTCATTTCTGTCTTTCTCTTACAGCCCTGGAAAGGAAAATATCAATGAGGCAAAGCAGAGAGGAGCTGATAAAACGAGGAGTCTTGAAGGAAATCTATGATAAAGGTAAGTGGGACTGGCCCACCCTTCAAGGGCCAGAGGCAGTGTCATGGAATTTGGGTGCATGTTTCTCAGCGTGGGACCCAGTTTTCTGTATTACTTTGTTACCCGGTTTTCAAAGTTCAGACATTTCTGGAAAGACAAAGAACGTGGCATCTCATATGTTGCTGTTTAGCACTGAAGCTCTCAGTTTTCTACTAAAACCAGTTGCTGTCAAGTCAGTTTCGATTCCTGGCTACTCGGTGTGCTCCCTAGGATCTGTAATTAGAGCAGGTAGTTGGGCAGCCGTAAGAACAGACTGTGTGGGAAGAACTACAGCCAGATACTCCTTATCAATGAGGATTGTGAGATTTTGTTATACACACTTTGAACATGTTATCAGGAAGGACTAGTCCTGGAGAAGGACATCATGCTTGGTAAAATGGAACATCTGTAAAATGGTCTTCTCATTGGAAAGACCCCCAATAAGATGAATCGACACAGTGGCCGCGACAATGAGCTCAGACATAACAATTGTGAGGATGGTGGAGGACCAGGCAGCGTGTCTTTAGGTTGTGCTTAAGGCTGCTATGAATCGGCATTCATTCAATGGCTCCTAACAACAACAGTTTGAAATATGCGGGGGGCTTCAAAATGTTCATGGAAAATTTCTGTTGTTTATTCATTCCATTTTTCCACGAACTTTTCGAAGCTCCCTTGTGGTATAGCTCGGCTCATTGCCTCTGCTGTCCCTTGCCAGTGAGACAGGGTAAGATCAGTGCCACTTCTTACTTGCATTTCGAGTAGACAGTGTGTACCGTGAGAAACGGCTTTAAAACTCTGAACGGCATCAGGAAGTTCCGTGAGGAGAAAGGTGCCAGAGGAAAGAAGTTCCGTGAAAACTGTGTGGCTGAACAGAAGCATGCGGAATGAGAAGGAGCCTGCTTTCAATACAAAACACGAACCAAGCAGGTTGAAGAATGGCAATAACATGGTCAACTGTCCAGCACTGTCAAAATGACAAGGATTTCATTGACTATTAAGGATGGATCTTTAAGTGGAATATATCATTTAATAATCTGGCCCACCAGAGAACGCCAACCCCCAAAAATAAGTAGACCTGAGATGGACAGTTGCTGTTCATGACCAGAGTATGATGAGAAGCAGCATTCTGGTATTTCATATAAAGCACTAACAGGAAGTATGACCCTCAGAGAGAAGCGAGAGAGTTAGTAAAGGGAGATTCAATTCAGAATATCAAAGCTCTTAGAATAGAGAAGTTAAGAATACCTAGTTTATTGTATACAGCCCTGTATATGCGTATTTAAAGATAGTAATTTAATAAGCAAAACCCACGATATTTGCTGGCAAACAGTTGTAGACACATTTGCAGATGATTTGGGTCATTGTGAATATTATCACTGAAGATATCTTAACATGTAAGTTGTGTTTTATAATGTTCTCCACTTCAATTTCTTCTATAATGGGGAGACAGACTGCCCGGAGGAAAAAACAAAATGTGAGAAAGAAATTCTGAATGCTAATGGGTCTTGAAGATTTGCCTTGGGAACTGTTTATGCCTAAAAGCTCCTAAGCAGTAAAATTCAGCCCAGCTCCATGTGTTCAAACATCACCAGCCTCATAGTCATTAACCTCCACCATTCCCAGAGCTGCACCCTTTTTCTTAACATCATGTGATTTGATTCCAATGTTGTGAAAAAGGTAGTTTTTGCCTTCTTTTAATAGGATATTAGCAAGTACCTGGGTGTTGCCAGTGGTTAATGCTCTTGGCTGATAACCAAAAGATTGGAGGTTTAAGGCCACTCAGAGGCACCTCATAAGAAAGGCCTGGAAATCCACTGCCCCAAAATCAGCCATTGAAAACCCTGTGGAGCACAGTTCTGCTCTGACGCATAAGAAGTCAGAATCAAGGCAATAACAGCTACTTATTTATAATGGCTTAGTGGTACATTTTGAGACCCAGGTTTGATTCCATGTTTGGTTCCATGTTTGAGACCCAGGGTCAATTCCCATCCAGTGCACCTAATGTGCAGTTGTCATTTGCCTGTGGCTTATTGTTGCCGGAGTGTTGAACAGGGTTCAGCGGAGCTTCCAGACTAAAACTGTAGTTAAGTGCCATTGAGTCAGTTTCAACTCATAGCAACCCTGTATAGGGTTTCCAAGGTGAGTCTGGTGAGCTTGTACTGCTGACCGTGTGATCCAAACCCACCTTGCAGTCTAGTACATTAACCCGCAGCACCACACCAGAACTTCCCAGACGAAAATAGACTAAGAAAATGAATCTGGTGATGAGTTTCTGAAAAACAAAAACAAAACCAGATCCAACGCTGTGTGCGTGGGGTCACTAGGATTCAGGGACCAATTTGATGATAGTATAATCGTAAGATCTTTCTGGAACCAAGGAATCTTTATCAAGAGCTACCTAATCCTTCTACTTCTGGCTAAGACCACATCAGAATACAACCAAGTTTCTTGATGAAACTAAAACTAACAAACATCGAGTTGATTCTGACTCAGCAACCCTAGGGTTTTCAAGACTGTAAATCTTTATGGGAGCAGACAGCTTCAGATTTCTCCCATGGATTCAAGCTGCTCAACCTATCAGGACTCCTTGATTAAACCCAAAGAATTCCTAAATGTCACTTTTATCCAGTGTCTAGCTTTGTGTAATCTTCCAAACCCTTCCTGGTATCAAACTTAAATCCTCGGGCTCCACCATAAGCTCTTTTCTCCATATTCACCTCCCGGTAGAGACAGAATACGGTTAACCGCAGGTATAATGTTGTGTGTGTAACAAGCATACAAGTACCGAAACAGATATAATTGTCACCACTAAAGTCTTTTCAGATCTAACTAAGTAATCCCTTCCTCTCCTTCCCTTCTTCTTGCTATCTTTATATTCCTCACCATAAAACTTAGTCACCAATTTGTCTAGGCGGGGCTGATGAAAGGAAATGCGGGTAGATCTTTAGTGATACAATAGTGAATAATTTTTATCAAGACTGATTGTGAGGGTTGGAAATGTAAAGGTAGATGTTTTGTAGCAAGGAGGGGAGTGATTAACTTTGCAGTCTAGGAGCCGAGGTCCCTGGGACCATCAAGGGAGAAGAGCGGAGAGCGGGACACTACCCAGAGAAACAGTGATGCCTGAAATGGAGCCAGAGATGATGACATGGAGAGATGGAGCAGCTGGGGACTTTAGACCCAGAGAGAGGAGGGGAGAGGGGTGTGCTGACAACCGGGGGGCAGGCTTGTAGGGTATACCCTTTGGTTGGTTGATGATGCATGAAGGGGATTGTAACCATGGCAATGAAACGCTATACGATAGGATGAATGTAAAACTAATGTTCTCCCATGTAAATTATCACATAGTTCACAATAAAACATTAAAGAAAACAACTTTAGTCACGTAGTCTAAAGTATAGAAGGAGTCCTGGTGTGGTGCTGTAGGATAAATACTGTCATTTGAACCGCAGGGTCAGCGGGTCAAACGCACCAGCTACACCTTGGAAACCATACACAAGGTAGCTATGAGTTGGAACCGACTTGAAGGCACTTAACAACAACAACAACAACAAAGTATAGAATGGATTTACTGTAACCAATTACCTTGGAATTGATTCTCACTCTTGGCGACCCCATGTGGGTGTCAGAGTAGAACTGGGCTTCATAGGATTTCTGTGACTGATTTTTGGAAGTACGTCGTCAGTCCTTTCTCCCAATGTGTCTCTGTATAGACTTGAACCTCCAGCACTTCAGTTATCAGCAGAACACATTAACTGTTTGTGCTGCCCAGCGACTCCATTACTCGTAAAACTGTGTTAAGCTAAGTACTGCCTAAGTGATGTTCTGACTTAATGAAAGAAATCATAGACTCATAGAGCAAGCCTCGTTTTACAGCAAAGAAACATGGCCATGGTGGTCTGTGTTTGCCAACACCTTGCAAAAAGATAGGAATCTCCTGCAGACAAGGCTGGCCCTGGTTGGTAGTGTGTCTCTAGCAGCCAGCACAGTGCCTGACTCAGCACATGCCCTCAGTCATTGGCGGTGCAGGGAAGAACCAGCCTGGTCCCTGCTGTCACTTGTTACCAGAGCATCCTGCTTTATTGTTGTCTTCCTCCCTGCTTCCCATTGTCTCTTTTCCTCACTAACATGCAGGCTCCAGGAGACCTGGGACCCACAAGCAGCTTGTGTCTGATGTAGACGGTTGTCATCTTTAGTTACCGTCTCAGCATCTCTGACTCCTAACAGTCCCAAGTCCAACAGAATGGAACATTGCCTGGTTCTGCAGTTCTCTTCGTAATTGCTGCCGTTGAATTGGTTCCAACTCATAGTGACCCTTTACAGGATTTCCGAGGAGCGGCTAACTGATAACACTTAGCAGTCCAGTGCTTATCCCACAGTGCCACCCCAGAACTCACTCCATCCTGATCTTCAGTATGCTCAAATCCATTGTTGCAATCACTGTGCATTTTGATTAGTTTCCAACACAGGTGGCTATTCTTCCAGCACTATATCAGATAAGATTCTGCTGTGATCCATATGGTTTTCATTGGCTGATTTCCAGACCTAGATTGCCAGACCTTTCTTCCTAGTTTCTTCCTGAAACCTGTCCACTGTGTGTCACTCTACTGGTATTTGAAATACCTGTAGCATTACCTCCAGCATCACAGCAATACACAAGCCACCACAGTACGACAAATTGACTGGTGGGTAATGGTGGTCAGTGAGGCTGTCAGAAGTACGTATTGTTGGCACAATGGAGAGATGAGAGGAAGAGAAGAACTGAAATTAGTAATCAGCCGGTAATCTAGTTGGTGTATAGGTCTGTGGTTGCTCTGAGTTTCCTGATAAATTATATCCATTTTGTGTAAGCGTAGCTATTAATAAGAATATTGCATTTTATTTTATTACATTACATCAGCATTTAATATGGACACTAGGATCAAACTACCTGGATTCAGTTTCACTTGCATTAGTAAGAGTTAAGTGACTTTACTGTGTGC